ATGTTTATTTTAAAATAAATTAAATTAAATTGATTACTGTTTTGAATTCCCGGCTTCTTCCCTTTCGGTTTCTGGTTTATCTACAAAATAAAGTACAATTAATTTCTGTTTAAAAATTCAAAATCCTCAGATGATTTATTTATTGTCTAAATAATTAAATTTAAATTTATCTGTTAGCTCATCATGTAAGAGATGGTATTAAACAAATATATATTATTTTATCTAGATAAATATTTAATAATTGTATGTGTTCTACAGTATTGTGTATTTGTGTATTAAAATGTGTTTGAAACTTACATACTGGAGTCATGAACCTAATATTTCTCCTTCCAACTCGTCTCAGTGGCCTAATTGCGAGTGGCACCCTTTGCATATCTGAAACATAGATTAATCAATGAATTTAAAGTACCTTTTTAGTATTTTAACATAATGATAATACCTATTTATTGTTTAGATTCACACATAACAAGTATAAAAATATAAAGATATATGTCTGCTAATTACCTACTTATGTTTAATAATATGCCTATTCGAATTAATAAAATCAAAATCATTAAATTTAATTAGAGTAATGTATCAAGCATTAATAGAATCCATAATTAATTATGGTATTTCTATATGGGGAGGTACGTATGATACAACTATAGATCCATTAACACGTAGACTGCGTATGTCTTTTTGCAGTTATCACCCAGTGCGTATGATAAAAGTAAAAACAAAAGAAATTAAAAAAAAAAATATAAAGAAACTGCTCATAACGACGTATGTATACATATTTAAAAACATGCGTTTAATCCACGCTAAATAATAATAAAATAACATTCAGCCACGCGTAGGGAATTTTAAACCATTTATTTTAAATGTATATTAGACGCCATATGGCGTCAAACGCGTTGCTGAATGATACTTATGACACCAATTGGCGTCAGTACGCAGTGAACGTGTTAAAAAAAAAATCCAAAACAAAATACTAATAATTATCCTGAAAAAAGACTCAAGATACCACACAAAATATTTATACAAAGACATGAATGTACTATACCAATAAAAAAATTATTTTATAAAGCGTCGGTACTTTACATAATTAAAAATAACTTAACTTTTAAAACTAAACACGGACACAATACTAGGCAAATATCTAATATCAAAGTACCCACTATGCACAAAAAATTAACACACTCCACATACCTATATATTAGTCAAAAATTTTCAATATACTACCAACAGAAATTAAACACAGCAACTCTTTTAAGATTCTTAAAAATAAATTATACTTTGGCTATTACCAGAACAAAATATAGACTGACTCATAACAAACGTATAGGATTACTGCATTATTTATCATATTAGTTGTACGACTTTAGTAATTATTGTTAATTTTAGTTTTATATTAACATATTATATTGTATTAATCAACTACAAAATTGTCTACATAATACTATATTATATAAACAAAGAGAAGAAAATATATATTAAATTATTACTTATATTATTAATATTATAGTTAGGTATGTGAGAAATGTATATTACTAATTGTAAATATTTAAATTATAAGAACTATTTAATGTATTTATATTTCAAATTGTGAACTCATGGGCCCCCACACATATTATAGTATCAGGGTTGGTTAGGTTATGGTAATTTATAGGTATATTATTTTTGTATTTTTGTAAGCAATAGATAAAAATTCTATGATTAAAATATATTTAATGAAATTTGTGAATTTTAAACTACACATACCTACAATCCTCATCAACTACTTTAATCATATAGCTACAAATCATAGATATTTATACCCAACACTGTATAATTGTATGACATCATCTTAATTCTATTATAAATGTACAAAATACATGGGCGGCTGGTGCTGGTAGATCGTGGTCGGAGCTGAAGTGGCGGACTGCTGGTAAGTTGCGGGCGGCTGGTGCTGTTACATGAAGGGCGGCTGGTGCTGTTGCATGAAGGGCGGCTGGTGCTGTTGCATGAAGGGCGGCTGGTACTGGTACATGGAGGGCGGCTGGTGCTGGTGCATTAAATATTGTGCAGGGATTGGGGTTGGCTGCGGGTACATACTCGGTACATGGTACATGGTGGTTACAGAGTATGTGACGGGATGCTGAAGCAGTGTGGGCTGGGCGGGCATCATTGGCGACTGATACATCAACGGCGTTGAAGGCGACTGCAGGTTTGTCGGCTGCGCCTCTTAAAATGTAGGAGCGGTTGGCTGGTACGTCTAAAATAATTTATTACATTAATTTAAAAAAACCGGGACGCAGATATCGAGTGGGAATGTACTAACAAAAGTCCAGCGAAAGAAATTCCATTAAGAGGACGCTACACCCGCATGTGTTGTCTCCGTCTTACACACGTACGACATAGACAAAACGCGTTTAGGCAGTCTGAGTATAACTCGCTCAATTTTGGTTCTAGAGTAGAAATACCCATTATTAAATTGAATTGTGATAATATTTCTAAGGGCAAGATGCTGCGGTTTTTTTAAAAAATTTAATTTTTTAAAAGTCAAAGGTATTTTAAAAATGGTGAAATTTTTTCTATTTCTAAACGATATAATGAACGTTATATTGGGTATAATGGAAAAACCGCAGCGTCTTGCCCTTAGAAATATTATCACAATTCAATTTCATAATAGTCATTTTTACTCTAGAACCAAAATTGAGCGAGTTATACTCAGACTGCCTAAACGCGTTTTGTCTATGTCGTACGTGTGTAAGACGGAGACAACACATGCGGGTGTAGCGTCCTCTTAATACGCAACATGACTTATTAGAAGTTTTCTGGAGAGATGTAAAAATAATATATAATGTATACTAATATATAATGACGTACAGAAATTTTATAAAGTACGTGACAATGAAAATTAAAAAAACTATTTAGTAATAAATTGCAATTAATATTATTGTTAATTTGTTATTAATCAATAACCAGTAAAAGGTTTTTTTGGTATGTAGCATACTACACCAACAAAGTAGCGGTAGGACGTAGGTAGCATATTAGACGAGTACCCATAAATTACATAATATATTAGACTTACCTATTTACTTATACCGAGTGGCATTTTTTAAACATTTCTTCTATAATGTTAGAGTCAATTGAAATAGATTTAATAACATTATTCACTTGAATAATGTCGTACTCAATACATCAGACCGGTTTGAATCTCACTCAGCAGCACGATTTGAAATAATTATATAAAAATATGTACATCGTAAATCGTGCTCGGCAGTATCAGTATTTTATTCTGTGGCAGTATTCTAGAAAATCAGATAACCTAATATAATATTATTATGCATTCGGTATTTAACTCCATAACATATGATATGATAACATTATTTATTATAAAATGATAAGAGAGCAACTGCCCATAGATATATATATTATTATTATTATTATTAATAATATTTATCTATGCTATTGCCTACTAGTCTAGTATCTATTGTTCGATGTCCGAATTCAACACATTAGTCCGAAGTTTTCCAATTTTACGGTTGTAAACGTTTCATATTCCGACTGGCATCCATCACTCGAAGAGGATTACATTAGCAATAATCCAACAGCAATCCATAAAAGGCCCAGCAGTGTCTTCCAATCCATTTTCCGACGGACGTCTGGCGTGCTGTGACTTTCGCTAAAAAAACACCGTGTCGACAAAGACTCACGACTAGGTAGGTACCGATTAATGCAGCACACTTAATATAATATATTACTTTTAACGTCTGTTAAGTCTAACCGCTTCTTTGCTTACGAATGTTATAACTACCTACTCGTTAACCATTATTAGATACTATTTTCCATCGGTGTCTTCGTTGTCGGTTTCGGCGACATCCTCCACACGCCCATAGTCAGAGGGTTGGCACTACTACAAGTAACACAGTGAGTGAGTCGCAGGTTGTCGTCACCAGTGGAATACCAGACAAACTCTCCGGTATTGGTAAATCGCATTTTTGTTTTATCTATAAAACTAATGACAGTGATTATTTGGCCGTTTATACTGTTTATAGAGTGTAATTTAGTTTGTGTTTACTGTTTAGCCATTAATATAACAAAATATGACACATTGGCTATTTAATTCCTGTACAATACTTTATGTAGTTGTATACTTACAAAGGCCATTATAAATATTATAAGAGTTAGTTCACTAATCAATTGTTTAATTTTTACCCATTTTTCAGTCTACTACCTTTCCTCAATCAGACAAATCAGACTTATAATAAATTACAAATATATAAAACTGCTTTTAAAATTATTTCAATTTTAAACCATTTAAATTTCCAGGAAGTGTAAGGCACATAAACCCTTCATGAAACTTTACAAACTCATCAACATAATATTTCCAATAAAACGCTTTTAAATTAATTATTAGTTTATTTTATTGTCAATATTTTAAAGATTCTATTATTCCATACATATTATAGTTTATTTTATTTAATTCATACTAACAATACTCAATATTATCTAATGTATTGTATAATTTACCACAATTATATGAACACTTCTAATATTACATTACCTAACATTGAACTTTAAATTATAACTTATTTATTATACCTAAGATTTATGTAATAATTTCATTAAGGGGGCGCTAGAGTGACATTTGGTGTCTCTGTCTTACAAGTGCGCAACATAGCGACTTTTACGCTCAGCAGAACACATTTATCTCCCGTTGTTTAAAAATGAAAACGAATTGACCTCTTATAAAATTTAAAGGTAAGACTAATCTAGATAATGACTTAGGCTTTTTATTATATATTAATTTTAAAGAGAGTTATGAGTATTTAATAAGAGATCAATTCGCTCTAATTTTTAAACTAATGGAGATAAAAGTGTTCTGCTGAGCATAACATTTGCTCTGTTACTCACTTGTAAGACGGAGACAACAAATGTCACTGTAACGTCCCCTTAATGACAATATTTATAGGCATAATATTATTATTTTTTAGATAAAATTATTTTATATGCATTACAATCATTAAAAAGAAATCATGGATTCTATAGACAGTGAGTACGGCTTTAGTATTTTATACTACTTTAACCTAAAACTATATATTTTACTAATCATAATTAATGTACATTTTTACATTTTTAGACATGAAAGTTGAACAATCTAGTCCAATACAAAATACAAATCTATTTAGTCGATTTAGTAGTGTAAGATCCCTACATCCTAGACATCATAGTAGTAGCAGTAGTCATGGTAAGTATTTAAATAACAAGTCAACTTTGTAAGCAAGTTGTAAAATTAAGCCTATTTATTTTTATGTATTTATTAAATTTATAAATTTAAATTTCTAATAAATATCAAATATTTGTAATTTAATTACATATGTACATTAGGTATTATATTAGGACCATTAGGTGTATTTCCTAGAACATATATACATTTGTATTCAATAATTCTGTTATTTTTCATAATTTACATAGTTAAATTATTAATAATGCTATAAAATACTTAACCATGATTTTAGTTTCGTGGCCAGATGTGCAGAACTCGGTACAAAACAACTTATACCAAATGAGTTTTTACAATAGTGTATGATGAGAGATTTGGCCCATCTGCATTGTTGATGCCAGTTGTATCAAAGTCTATAACTGGATAACTCTTCATAGTTAATTGTAGGGGTAATGATTAGGGAGTACCTATAAATAGAATAATACGATTCTAAGTTCAATCTAAATAATTTCCGAAACTTCATATCAAAGTTTTTATTCTTTCTTAAAATATTTTACACTAAACCATTATTTACTTAGGCTGGGTTTCTTTTCATCTTTTATTATTATTAACTATGATTGTTGTTATACGCTCATATTTTAGATTCTGTTGAATGTATTGGTTTTACAATGATGTGTTTTTTTAAAAAAACAATTTATTTGAGTCTGTCATCACTACAGTGTAAATAATTCTTGGATTTTCTTCAACAGTCTCTTTTCTGATGGAAAAGTGAATCTAGATTCTAGATGGTACTTTGGGGGTCAAAAGTAAACATTACTCAGTAGTTTTCAAAAGCACCAAGAAAATCAACCAGGAACGTTTACTTAAAATCAGTGTTCGACAAAATCAATTTTGGTTTTTGGTGAAACTCTGAAACAAATTACCGTAGATACATGAAATTTTCACTGGTTTTTTTATATTAACAATTTCCTTACATGAAACAATTTTCAAAATATTATGATTTGCTTCGAACTGTTTATGGACATTTTCAGTTTCAAATTGTTTTAATTATTTTAGATTCTGAGCGGAGCGATGAATGTATTGGTTTTACAATGATGTATGTTTTTATATTTTTATTTATATTTTTATTTATATTTTTATTTATATTTTTATATTTTTGTGTCTGTCATCACGTTTTAGGACAGTAAAAGTGTTTGGATTTTCTTCATCAGTAGCTTTTCTGATAGGAAAGTGAATCTAGTTGGTACTTTGGGGGGTCAAAAGTATAAATTTCCCAGTAGTTTTCACTAGCGCCGGGAAAAACAACATAAAAATTAAGGAAAAACGGGAATTTTTACGCAAAATTGGTTTTCCAAAAAATCGATTTTGGTTTTTGGTGTAACTCTGAAACAAATGAACGTATATACATGAAATTTTCACTGGTTGTTTATATTTGTATTTTCTATACACGATAACATTTTCAAAATATTTTGATTTATTTTGAACTGTTTAGGGACATTTTCATTTTCCATTTTTTTTTTAGTTTTTTTTCTAAAAATATCAATAACATTTTATTTGTTGGTTGCGAAAGCTTGAACATTTAATAGAAGGCTCCTAATATGTTTTTTCAAAGGCAGATGAAAAATATTAAAAATCCTTAGTCACAATTTTTTTTTATAAGCATTTAAAGTTCAAAAATTGACAAAATATGGAAAAATCACGAAAATTAGCAAATTATTTTGAGTTAAGAATTCGTAAAAATTTTTCTTTTTAAATCTAAGGTTTGAAAATGAAACACAAGATTCCTTATAAGATTATCTACCTTTATCAATAAAAAAATCTCTACCGGACAGTCAAATTAAATTTTTATGAGCGTTTGAAATTCAAATTTTTACAACATTGGATTTTCACTCGATTTCTCATGTAGCGATTTCCTTATTTTGTTGTAATTCAAAAACGAATAACTGTAGATACATGAAAATTTCACTGAATGTTTATATTAGCATTTCCTATACACCATACAATTTTGAAAATATTTTGACTCTTTTTGAGCTGTTTACGGACATTTTCAGTTTTCAATTTTTTTAGTTTTTTTTTTTATAATTGTCAATTAAATTTTATTTGGTGTGCCAAAAAGTCTGAAAATTTAATACAAGCTTTCTTATATATTGTTACAATATCAGTTGAAAAATTTTAAAAATACATAGGCACGATTTTTTTTTATAAGCATTTAAAGTTGGAATTTTGACAAAATTTATCAAAATCTCGAAAATTATCAATCGTTGGAATTAAAAAATTATAAAATGTTCAGTTTTTATAACTAAGAGTTGAAAATTTAAAACAAAGATTCTCTTAAATAATTCATACTGTAACCAAAAAATCTAAAAAATATATAAACACACTTATTTTTTACAGACATTTTAATTTCAAATTTAGACAAAATTTCATATTTAAACCAAGAATTACGATTTTAGTTATTTTGTTGTGATTGTATAATATTATTCGTGGGTACTTGAAATTTCTAAAGTAATCTACTATATATATCTATGATAGTATCAGGGTTTGTTGTTGGTGTATAACGCGTTATAAGTACCTAATGGATATTGTGATATGATTAATTTGGAATTCATTATAGGTCAATTTTTTTTAATACCATAGATATGTATATAATATGTCTTTTACCTAGAAGGACATACCGTCTCCGCTCAGAATCGTTTTTCTTATACAATGATATTATATCATTGAATTCAAATTTAATACCATCCATTATACAATGACCCACTTGTAACCTACTGTACAGCAGAGCGACACCCACTTGCCCACCTTTTTTTCTATTAATGTCAATAAAATGTTATTTGTTGGGTAAAAGAAGCTTGAAGCTTGGAACATTAATGCTAGGATCCTAGATATCACTACAATGACAGTTGAAATATACCTATTAAAAATACAGTCAACATTTTTTTTATAAGCATTTAAAGTTCGAATTTTGACTAAATACGTAAAAATTATGAAAATCTGCAAATTATATTGAGATAGATATTCATAAATTTTTTTTTTTAAAGCTAAGATTTGAAAATTTAATTCAACATTTCACATAAATATTAATCTAAGCATTTTTACTGTCGTAAAAGATGACGACAGACACAAATATAAATTCATATAAAAAATTTAAAAATTAAAAAAAACACATCCATCGCTCAGCTCAGAATCTAAAATAATTTTGTAGTTAAAAATTTACAAAATGTTCAACTTTTGTAGTTAAGGATTGAAAACGCAAAACATTTTTCTACCTAAATAGGTAAATAAATTACTTTATTCAAAATAATAACATCAAAATAATATACTTAGCTATTTAACATAGGCTGACTGACCTTCTTCATCAAAATCGTTTTTTCTTGTACAATGATATTATATTATTGAATTCAAATTGAATATCCATTACAGTGACCCACTTGTAAGCTACTGTACAGCAAAGCGACATCTACTTGCCAACTTTTTTAATTTGTTTTTCTATATTGGCAGAAGATGATGACAGTGAAGACAAAGGTTCACCAAATAATTACACAGAAAAGCGACGAGAAGCTCATATCCAATCTGAACAAAAACGTCGTGATGCCATAAAAAAAGGCTATAATTGTTTACAAGATTTAGTTTCAACTTGTCAGCAAACTGATATCAGCGGTTACAAACTCAGCAAAGCAACAGTGTTACAAAAATCTGTAGATTATATACAAGTAAATTTTAAACAATTAAATTTAACTAAACTATGTTACAGTAACATTTGTTGTCTCCGTCTTACAAGTGCTTAATATAGTAAATTTTACGATCAGCATAACATGTTTATCTCCCATTGATTTAAAAATTAGAGTGAATTGACCTCTTTTAAAATTTAAAAGTGAGATTATTATCTAGACCAGGGGTCTCCAAACTTTTTTATTCAAGGGCCACAAAAAAAATCAAATGCTCTTAGAGGGCCAAAAGTTTATTAACACATAAATCATTTTTAATTGTATGATAATATAGGTACCTATATAAATAATATGTTTACTTTATATTTTTGTATAAAATATTGTTTACTTTGCAATATACTTAAATAAAAATAAATAGATATAAATATAATATAATATAAATACATTTTTGATATAATTTTTTAATCTATATTTACCTATGCGTCCTATGCGGACCACGGGCCGGTTAAAACTTGTTCGCGGGCCCTAGTTTGGAGACCCCTGATCTAGACAATGACATAGGCTTTTTATTATATTTAAATTGTAAAAGGAGTTTTGAGTATTTTAAGATATACAAATAGTTTGTAATTTTAAAATACACATAACTTGCTGTAAAATTAAATTATTATAAAAAGCCTATTTCATTGTCTAGATAATAATCTTACTTTTAAATTTTATAAGAGGTCAATTTTTAAACAAACTCGAGATAAACGTGTTCTGCTGAATATAAAATTTGCCATGTTGGGCACTTGTAAGACGGAGACAACAAATGTACAATATAGCAAAAACTGTATTGCTAGGGACAACTTTTCTTACACCATATTTGTTGTAGAACTACCAAATTTTCACAACACGTAAAGAAGAAATTTTCCTGTGCAACAGCATGCTCTTTTTTAATAGCACTATCCAAATTTTTTTTATGAGCAAATGAAAAAACCAAAAAAAAAATTTTTTAGAAGCAAATAACTTTTATTTTATTTATGTTATCTAAAATATTTGTATGCTATTGCATAGATAATTTTCCACCCTAAATGTTCAGAAATTTTGGAGCCACTATTACAAACACAGAAAGATAAAAGTTGTTCCACTCAAAACAGTTTTTGCTATGTTGTACATTTGTAATACGGATACAACAGATGTGGTTGTGACATCCTCTTAAGAGGACGTCTCACCCGCATGTGTTGTCTCCGTCTTACACACCTACGACATAGACAAAACGCGTTTAGGCAGTCTGAGTATAACTCGCTCAATTTTGGTTCTAGAGTAAAAATACCTATTATGAAATTGAATTGTGATAATATTTCTAAGGGCAAGACGCTGTGGTTTTTTTTTAAAAAATTTAATTTTTTAAAAGTCAAAGGTATTTTAAAAATGGTGAAATTTTTTCTATTTCTAAACGATATAATGAACGTTATATTGGGTATAATGGAAAAACCGCAGCGTCTTGCCCTTAGAAATATTATCACAATTCAATTTCATAATAGGCATTTTTACTCTAGAACCAAAATTGAGCGAGTTATACTCAGACTGCCTAAACGCGTTTTGTCTATGTTGTACGTGTGTAAGACGGAGACAACACATGCGGGTGAGACGTCCTCTTAAGAATTTAAATTAAATCAAAAAGGGACAATTGAAAGATTAAGAGAAAAAATAAATATGTATGATTTTTTTTTATATATACATTAGGGTGATTAAGGATAATATTAATTTTATTATATTATGTCACTATTATTATATTTTATGATAGTAAACAATTATTTACCTGTTATAATATACAAGCCAAAATGTCTTAAGCATACATATTTATTTCAAAGTATTCTTACTATGTAATATATTGTGTACGCTCGCCCACACATATACATAAATTATAATATAATATGTACCAAATGTTTATTGATTAATAATATTTATATATTACTTTTATTTTACTAGAATTCATTGTGGCAAAATAAAATATTTGAAAAAGAACGAAATGCTTTACAAAAAGAAGTTGTTGCATTACGAATAATGCATACTAATTATGAACAAATGGTAAATGCTCAACAAATTCCAATGGGTCACGTTGAAGCTAGAATTCCCGACGAAGAAAAATTTCAAATGGTTATTATAGTTGTTTTAAATTGATATAAATACATATTTCCCCTAAAATTGAATTTGTATGTATTTAATTAAAGATAAACTTAGGCAAAATTAGTACCCAGACATTCTTTCAAATCACATATTTTAAATACCATTAAAATATAATATGTTGGTTACCCTCCGTGTTTCATCTTTATAATGAAATTAAATAATATTCTATTTAAAATGTTTAGTTTTGATTCTTTTTACTTTCTCTCTCTCTCTTTCTCTATCACTCTCTCTATCTTTTGTTTTATTTCTTTATCTTAGTTGTGTATGATAAATATATAAATTCAATTTTTGTGCCATCCTAAGTATTATTATTATTTCTGAAGCTAATAAAAATTGTATCTTGTAGTTTCAGAATATTATCGATGGATTGTTTTTTACATTTCGTAACATTAATGTAAACGATTTTACTGAACTTTCTGCTTGCGTATTCAGTTGGGTTGAAGAACACTGTAAACCTCAGGTCAATATTTTTTTATCTGACTTAAAAAAATATTTTTGATAGTCAAAAATAAAAATAAACTATTAATATATTTTAAAAGTTAATAAAATATATTGTCTGATGTATACTTACTGTATAATATAATAATATAGATATTAATGCTGGGGCTGTTTGATTGTTTTTTTAAAAGTAGTCATTGTAAATCAATCTAAAAACTATAGTATAGGAAGTTATTTCTAAAATGTACTAAAAATAAAAGAAGTTTCTTTTTGAATGTTGTTTCTTGTTTGTTGAATATTGTATAAGCTATAAACATAAGACATGATTATTATAAAATAACTTACTAACTATATGTCTATAACTAACTATTATAATATTTACTAAATAGATAAAGTTTTATTTTTATTTTATCCCAAGTGCTCTGAGTTTTAGTCCAAAATGCATTTCTCATCATAATAGCATATTACTACAAAAGTGCCCTTCTACAAAAATTGTTAACCTATCTTGGAAATAGTGTGGATAATATTATAGTGTGTAATTCTACACTATATTACAATTGTATTTATCTTCGTTCTAACCATCAAACATAATACCTTATATACTTTTTAGTATTTTAAAAGTAAATTAAATATTGATCTAACAATAAATCATTGTATTTGAGAAATATTAAATGAGGAAACCATAAATCTTGCAGTAAATACTTAATCCAGCTATACTTGAACTGGTAAAGTTCTATCGATTGTATTTATCAATATTTCATTGTTTTAATCTATTGATCTATTGTTTTAACAGCTTACTCGATTCAATGGTAGTTCTTTAACTATTTAAACAATCAAGCACTCTAGAAGTTCTTGATGAATGTCTTCGATTAATAAAATGTTTGATTATTTAATACTTTTGACAATCGAACTGCCCTAATTTATACTATTTTGTATTAAATATTTTTATCTATTATTATGTTTCTATGGATGTTTATATTTAATAAATTCATAATATATTTAATTAAGTGAATCTCTTTTATTAGTGAATGTACCTTTTACTTATTTAATTTTCAGACATTACAAAATTTAATAGAAACTGTTATTGAAAAGGAAACTAAGAGTCATACAACTACCTCGTTCGACAAAACTTCACCATAAAGTATATTTCATTTCATTTATTTTATTTTTTACCAAGTATCAGATTATTATTGTAAAATGTTTAATTATGTTGAAATAAAATATTTTTTATAAATATAAATGTTCTATTTGTTATAACAGCTAGAAAATATTATTAATGTTTAAACATTTTGGGCATACATGTATGTATACAGTTAAAATAATGAATTATAATTTTATGCTTATAGCATGCCATATAAACTCAAGTTTTTAGTACCACATTTAATAAATGTTAAGTGGGATTTAGTGAAAATTATAAATATGTGTACCTCAATTTATCTTTTTCAGTTCATACATTTTTTTGTCAAGCAGTTTTTATGTATAATAAAGCTAAAAAAAACCATATTTTATATGAATATATATAGTACATACTATATAATTTTACCTCCAAAATAACTCACCCTAATTTAATCCCTAAAACCACGTTCACAATAAGACTATAGTGATAGCTGCTACGTGCCCTATTAAATATGTATAGCATCGTACACATTTCTTATAGTGTGGCGCAGTGCCAAATCGCCAAAATAAAGGTGTGACAACATTTCATTACGACACCCACCCATAGATACATTTAGGGAAAAAATTTGCTGTAGCCCCCCAAAGTTCATAGCACATCAATCAAAACTGTAGTATAGAGGCCTCACAGGTTAAAAAAAGCAATCTCAGAACTTTGAAACACAAATTGCTCATAACTGTTGAATTTAAATTAATTTTAAATTTCAGTTATGTTATATTTTACTTATTTAATTGATAGGGTAACTTGTATAGTTATTGGCACCTTAAGACTTCGTTTTTGATAGTTATTGTCACCTAACCTGCTCCATTACGAAATCGAATAGCAAATTATCAAATTAATATTATGATAACATCAAGATTAATAATAAAACAGTATCAATATGACCGTATAATCAAAAAAAAATATCTATAAAATTCATAATCAAACATTTTATATACGAAAAACAAAATTACTTTGTGCCAATAACTATACCCGGCCGAGGGCCGTTCTCCGACAAATGATAACAACCAATTTTTTCTCCGACAGTCAGAGTGACCAACCATGAAAAAAAAATGTCAAATCGTTATTTTACTATGGATACTATAGATATCTGATCCTAATCTACATAATTTGAAGTTGAAAGTTTTACTAGTTTTAGTACACGTTTTAGTTTTAACTGTTTGAAGCATGACAAGATATATATTTTGTCATGGTTTGAAGCTTCTGAAGTTGTTTTTTCTTTTCTAAGGTAAGGCATTAAAACCATTATTATGAACATTGTTAAAATTATATTTATTAAAAAAAATTATAAAACATACAATGTCATAAATCATAATATATAAATATAATAGAACTATAAAACACACATAATCATTGTAAAACCAATACATTCATTGCCTATTATATTAATTGTATTTGTATATAATTATATAATAAATATAATAAAACACACATACCTATAAAAAAATAGTCATTCTAAAATCAATACATTCATCACTATTCACCACTAATTGAATTTGTCAATAAATGTAAAAAATTAAATATATAATTTGTCAATAATTAAATCTGTCATAATAAAGTTGTTAAAAGTATAAAAATTGTATAAAAATAATAATAAAATTTGAAATAAAATATTTTCTCAGGTTATCATGGCTGTGGGCCAATTTGTCCATGCAGATACCCATCCATCATATGGCCTGCTCTTTGGAGAAACATTAAGAGATTCCCATCGTCATTGAGAGTATCAATATACTCTCTAACCCTCTGAGTAGCATCTGACCGTTGTACTCTAGATGTATGATTTCTTACCTAAACATTTAAAAACAACAGTATAAATGAGTAATTACAATATAAGAGTACATAAATTTAAAATAAAATAATTCATTAATCTACTGTTAGATTTCTTCGAACTTGGTCCATCTCAACGTAAAATTGATTTTCAATCAACAACAATTTTTCTAGAAGAAAATTAAAATAAACTGTAATAGTTATTAGCTGAAAGTTCCAAAATAAAAAGAATAAAATAATTAATTGCTTATTAACCCTTTGAGGAGCATGGACGTATATGTACGTTTTTAAAATACACTGTCAAAAAGAGCATTGACGTATATATACGTTTTTCCCGCGAATTCCTTTTAGTTTCATTGTTTATGTTTCCTTACGATAAAATACCTTATATGAAATATGTGCTGCCATCTGTGAAGTTTAATTTCAACTAATCATTTTATTTCTTTTTTTTTCACTCGCGAGTGAAAAATAGGACGTACATATACGTCTTCGCTCATAATTTTTTTTCCTAATTTCTCATTCCTAAGCTGCTCCCTGGATTGCATTTACGTATACCAAGGCTGCTCCTCAAAGGGTTAATAACAAATATTTTATAAAATTGAGCTTACGCAAAAAATCCCAAATATTTGGATGTTTTCCCATTTGATTGAGTAACATAGCGTGAAATGACTCTAGGTAATTGTTGGTGCGTATATCTGAACTAAAAAGTATATTACATTTTAAAACTATTAGGTTAGGTATATTACTATTAGGTACCTAGTAAAACAATGTTTTTTATATAATTATCATACCCATAGACGCTTATAGAGGCAGCGCCAATTTGTGTCAGCCAAAATTCCTGAATATAACCATTCAGAAATACTTCCATCTGTTGATAAATATTCGGATATTGATTGGCAAATTCAACAATTACCCAAAATCCATCATGTATTGTAAATGTACAATTGGGATGTACTTGAGCAGGTAAATGTGGTAAAGCTAAGATCTATAACAGACATTTTTGTAAAACAGTATAAGGTATTAATGTTTTATTCTTATTAATTTCAGACTAAATTACCATGCGCAATATTGTAGCTGCCTCAGGGTTCGATTGGAATAAATGGTAAATACTATTTAGACTTCTTCTACAATACCTTACAATAGCCTAAAAAATATTAATTAAATGATGTACATTATATTAACTATTCCTAATAAGAAATAACTTGATTGATATAAAATACTTAAGTACCTTAATACTTAACATTACTTACTTGACAGTAATGGAACCAACAACCCTGAAATCTGCTTTCAGGAAAGGTTGATTCTACTGCATTTATTAACCCCCTTTCATAATCAGATATGTTTGTTAACTGGGCATAATTCAATGGCAAAACCTCACGAACAATCCTCAAGAATGACTCGTATGTAGCTTGAGTCATTCGGGAAGTCAGCGCATAAACCATCGGAAAAGACCTAAATAGAAAATACAGTCAATAAGTATATAGGTACTTGAGAAGCTATATTTATTAATTTACTAATTATACTTACTACATTTTTTAGAACCACTTGAAATGTTAATAAACAGCCTTTGGTTAGCTGTGGTGGACTTTTTGGTAGCGTTTTAAATGTGCTGTCAATTTCTGCAAAGGTTACAGTTAGCAGTTCTTCTCTATATTTTTGAATCGCATCTCAATTTGAGAATATGACGCCAACCCGTTCGCCTTCTACCATAAACGGTAAATGTTGTTGAAAAAAAACTAAATAAAAATATATTTAAATATTTTATTTTATAATTTTATAATTTTTAATAAATGTGAAATTTTACTTTGAAGACGGATTCTGCATTGTTGTTCCATATGCTGAGTTTTGATGCTGGCTTAAGGTATCAATCAGTTCTTCGACTGTAGATGGATTGTTGGGATGACGGCGCCGACGCATTTTTTTTACACACATTTGTGATTGTAAATAGGTGTAGTTTGTTGCACCTTCTGGATTTCTAAGGCAGTAATGAAATATTCTTAATTAATAGTATAGTTTTTAGTATATTAAGTAGTATAGGTGTATAGTTAGATTAGGTTAGGGTAGTTAAAATAGTTATGCATATTTTTTATTATTACTATTATATTACTTTTGTATTGGTCTTAGGTTAGGTTATTGATCTTCTCTTACTTACTCAACTATTTCTCTGTTATAAATTTCTCTAACTGAGGTGGACATATTTCCAGGTTTTGTTCCAGTTATACCAATAGCTCTTCTTAAATGAACCATAGGAATATCAACTAACCTAGGTGCATGGTAGTGCAATCCTAATACTGTTATTGCATTGTCATTTATATTTGTATTCACATACGCAGTGACAGGACAAAATACTGTTCGATTTTTTTGATTTTCGCACACTAGGTATCTAAATAAGTTATAAATTAAGATTTTACTAGCTAGCTAAACAAACCAAATCCTAAAATAATAATAATATTAATTTCTACTCACATTTTGTTATTTCGACTTCTACTTTTATAATACCTGTAGTTTAAATTGTCCACAAATATTTGTGACTTAAGTCTAACACCAGGAATTATTGTGTATGTTGTCGCATGTTCTTGAACTGTAAATAAAATAATAATCATAATTAACATTTAATTTATGGCTATTGCTATTTGTAAGTAATATTTACCTTTATATAAATATATGTATATAATTTAGTACTTACTGTTAACTTCTTCATCTACATCCACATCTACAATAATTTCTTCTGGAAGATTGGGAAGAAGTAAAACATAATTATGGTCATGTAAATGATTCATATTGAATAATAATATTGAAAAAAAACCCAGATATATGTATAACTGAAAGTTTAGAGAGTTTAACCAAACAAAATATAAACCACAATACTAGAGTTGATGTATAATAAGACTGAAAGTGTTTTATAAAACTGTTCTGTAAATTTCCCGCAGTGAAGTATAGTAAATAAAAGAAAACTAACATGGTATTTTGTAGATAAGTAAAATGTCATAAATTAAACAAAAATAACTCCATATTATCTTGACATAAATTGATTTTATATATTACATCCTATACATCTTATCTTGTCGTTAACGAGGTAATCCATTCTTCCTGATCAGATTTTATTGACTACATTTGGACTTACACCTATGTTTGTAATATTGTATAGGGTGATTTTTTTTAAATGTTCACGTTACAATATGATCTACTTATTTAATAAACTTGGACTCATTTGTAATGCTCACCTATGCTTCTCTTAGTAAGTTCTATTTTGTTGTTACTGTCTATTACTGTTTTTACCTTTTTTTAATTATTATTTTATTTTTATTTGTATATAATCGCGGTGTATTGTTAGGCGTCTACCTATTTATTGTTATATTATTCATATTTATTACTACAAATTGTGTTGTACTATTGGGCTCTTAGCCCATTCATACATACATATGGTTATATAATCTATTTATATTATTAATACTTTAGTAGAGTTTTTAGATTTCAAGAGTTTCAAGATCTCGAATATTATATATAGCTGAATACAATTGATGCTAACTAATCCATACGTATTAAACACAAAATACATATTAAACTAATTTAATAAACTAAAATAAAGAGTAAACAAGGTAAGCTATATAAATATATTCCTATTTTTTTAAAATAATTGTTAATATTAAAATTAAATTTTGAATCACTTATTTATAAAAAAATGTTGATGTGCACATTTAAAAAATCCTATTATTAAGTATAGGTTGGTTCTAAAAAAATATTTTTGATGAAGATAATTATTTAAACGTTTTATATTAATTAAACAAATACAATCAATACACTTTATATTTTAAACTATTGAAGTATAAATGCATAACTGTAAACAAATGCAATCAAATTTAGTTGGTTCAACAATTATTATAGTTCTATAAATAATAGTAAAATAAATTTAAAAGAATATTACAAACATTAATAAAGACCAGATAGACTTAAATGGTGGCATTTCAATGAGGAATTGGATGAACAACTACATTTTATAATAAAATATAATAATATTATATTAAACAACTTCCAGCCCTGTGGTTTTCTCATCTGATGTTCATTAATACACAAACAAAAATAATAAATAATAATATATTATGTATTTAAATTTTATTTATATTATGAATGTATTGAGCCATGGTATTTACATTTTATTCATATTATAAATGTATTTAGCCATGGTATTTACATTTTATTTATAATAAAGATATATCTAATACAAAATTTAAGTTTGTAAAGTCTACAATAATGACAGAAGTAAAAAACAATAGAGCATTATAATATTGTTGGATTTAGATGGCCTTAATTTCAAAGATTTTCTTTTTAAGCGGTTTTATTCTTAAAAATGAGCTTTTAAGTTTCGACGATTCAGATTACAAATTCGTTTACTTTTTAATACAAAATTTCCCTAACGTCAATTTAATAAAAATTATGTTGGTAATGTTTGAGGTTATATCCTGTATCAAATTTATGTTTGTCGGAGAACGACCCCCATCTCAACTATACCCCTGCCAATAACTATAAAAGTTACCCTAGTTACATTTATTTATTCATATAAAATAAAAAAAAAAAATGTATACTTTAACTTTTGCAAAAGATACAGTTAATAATTAATATCATTACTGAATTAAATTAATTCATTACATGACTTCTAAAAATCCAAATTTTTTTCTTGAATCAAATGCACTATGTAGCAATTGGAAGTACAAATATTTATTTATAGGATTAGAATAGTAGATTCAACTAAACTTTAACAAATAAATTAAGCTCTATAAAATTATTCAATTTTTACAGTAGTAATAGGTATAAAATAAAAGAATATTTTGATGAAATGTTTAATAAAAAAAGTGGGTAAGTAGATGCAGTGTTTGGAAAGAATGTCGTTCATGAACGCACGTTCACTATATATAGTGAACGATACATGAACGTCACTCGGTTCTTTGCAAATAGAACTTGGACGCGAACGACGTTTGTATTTTTAATGAATTTGATCGATTTTTAAGACGTTCAATTTATTTACCATTTAATAAATATTATAATATGTATAAAATATATTAATTAATTTTATTATAATAATAATATTTTCATTTTTCCCGTTATAATTCCTATAATATTTGTTTCATTGCAAAATATATAAATTAAATACGTGAAATTCCAGTGTCCCCGGCTAGACATACAACAACAAAAATATTATAACTTAAACAAATTTGTAATAAACCTAATACGTTTATCATAATAACTACCCTAGTATTCGCTTAATTTTATCACTATTAAATCCTTCTCAAAATGTAACTAAAATAACTTGTCCGATATTATTATAAATTATAATTATATTATTGTAAATCGTTTATCAATTGTACAGTAATTGTTGTACACGTCGCGAATTGTATGGGTACACACTAAAAACAAATCCATCGGCTTTTGTTTGCACAGTTTGCACCATGTATATGTCGTAACCACTTCATCAAATCGAACTTTTCATGAAAAGATGACCATTTTGTGGAATGGAAATAAATATATTACACTTCGTGAAATTCTAAAATATTTCACAAAATTGTCAATTTGTCATTGAAGTGGTCACTTCAATTTAACATCATGTAATTTTTTTCACAATCTGGTTCATTCACTTTGTGTAGGTATTGGAATACAACATCCATTGCACAAGTCAAGTTTGATTATGTCCATTATTATTTATTATTTATTAAGTATACTTATTTATGACTTCTAAAATTAACTAAAAATGCAAAATAAAATTTTCATAAATGGATTCGTATTCAAATTATGAACTTAAAAAACTAGGTAAAAATTTTAAAATTATAATGTATTTTAAAAATTAAAATTTTACTAAAAATACTTAAAACATTTCTTCAACAATAATTTATAAACTTAACAACTAAACTATGAAGATAACAAAGCTACATTGATTTCTTTTACCATTTTAACTCGATTGAGAATTTTTTCAAGCGATTCTTTATTTAATGGACACGTTGAATACCATATAGGGCTATCGGGTGCGCAAGATCTTTCAGGAGTGAGATAAAACAAATCATGTCTTGTTTTAAGACTTTCTGGGCTATAAAAAATAAATTATGAATATAAATATTTATAAAACACACAAATTCAAAATGTTTGTTAAATTGAAAATAAAATAATAACCATTTTGATAAGTAGAATTCATACAGCTTTACAGGACATCTCAATGAATTGTCTTCATTCTCATGCTGCTCGTACACTTTTTTCTTTCGAGAATTCGGTGAGTCTATATTATAACAATAAAAAAAAATGAATACTTTTATTTGAGTTGTTAATATTGAACAATATTTAGTACATACCAATGGCCTGTGAAGGATAATAACGCAGTATTACGTTTCTGTAGGTTCCAGGTGGAATAACTGCAAATGTTGATGGCTCGTTAGGATTTATTTTCCAATGCTTCATTATATGTGAAAATGATAGTTGCATAATATGTTCTTCGACACTCTAAATAATAATAAACACAATATTATAAACAAAAATGAAAACTGTATAATACTTACTATACTATACTTACTGTCAAATTAAAATATTTGGTATTGAAAAATATCAATGTGCATAACAATACGTAAGGAGAATGTGCCCCGAGCTGTTTACTCTCCCAAAGATACTCTTCTTCAACTCGTGTAACAATATACTCTATAATCAAATGGTTACTATAACACATAAATTATATTCAATAAACAATAAAGTGTATTACTTGTATCATTATAGAGTTCAGTGAACCTTTTAGTTATTTCATTTAAAGTATCAGTAAATTTTTCAAAAGGCATATCAGTAAATATATTATCTATTCGTCCGTTTTTGAATAAATATTGCTGAACACCTAAACACAGATAATAAATTGTGTCTGGCTCATATTCACTTCCATTTGGTTTGCGTATATCTTTCACAAACAAGCACAAACAATAATTTAATTCATTAGCTGTTAACTGCAGGAGGTCCAACTTAAATATATTTGTCTTTTTCACTCCACACACATAACTAGATAATGTTTTCTCGAATTCTATACTTTTCGTGCAAGCCCACTGCCTCCAGGCATTAACTCCTAATGTATACTTGAGACACATATTTGCTTCAGGTTTAACTAAAGACATCGGAATGGTGTATAGAGGATTTTGTACAACTTGTTGTATCAATCCTGCTGGGATGCATTGTGCCTGAGGATAATCCGTTATACGAGAGCGATTTGAATTTGGGTTAAGCTGAGACTGTGAACGAGGTGCACGTTTTCTTGGAGGTCGACATAACATATCTTGAGGGGAAGATATCATATTTTTTTGGGATATATCTTTAAAAAGTATAAATATTTTACTTTAAAATAAAATTTTTTTAGTAGCTTTTAGTTTTGAAACTTACTCTCCATTAGATCAGGTGTTTGAGTCATAATTGTAGAAGAAACTAAGTTTGCTTCAACATCAATAATTTGATTTCTTTGATCATTTGATGTCATGGTAGACATCTCATCAGCCTCTTGGATCCATGGATCATCTGGCGTTTCTTCTCTCATTTTCTGTAAATCAAATATTATTTTATTAAATCTAGAGCATTTAACGAGGTTTTGGAAATAGAATTATAAAGATCATACTAGATCATACTATATTCTATTCTGAATAAGAGCTGAACTGGGCAGTCGACTTGTGCGCATGGGCTTCATCCGAATGCCGAACTGGGTGGTTGACTTGCTGGGAGAAGTATCTGACCACTGCCGGGCGAAAACCGGTCACCGCCCAGTACCGCTCTCATTCTGAATAGAGTATATTAGCCACCTTCATAATTTAAGATGAAATATTTATTATTTTTTTTTTTTTGCGGTAAAATGTCTTCAGACATCGAAAAAAAACATATTATTGAAAAACTCATAAATTCATCTGAAATCTCAAAATCTAAAACCAAGGTCTTCCCTGTTTCGATATTAATCGATTTTTAGCTTTAATCTCAACGAGATAAATTTTTTATTTTAAATTACCTTTATATCCTTCAAAATTGCTTTAGTAGTATTTTTAGGCGTAGGAATAACATTTGGAATCGGTAAAGGTATTGGGAATGGCACTGGTACTGGATATGGCGATACATACATATGCATAGGGGTTGGAATGTATATTGGCACTGGAATTGGTATTATCCCCGCTTTACTAACAGTTTGATCTAAAAATAAATCGCACATAATATCAATTGAAATGTTGATTTATTGATATACAATTTAGAAAATTAAATCCTACCTGTTTGTACTTCTTTATCAACTTTAGATACCTCATTTTTGTGACTTGTTTTTCTACCAACTGTTTGTTTCACTTCCAAAGTTTTTTGATGAGAATTATGTAGTCCATCACTCTAGAAGACCACAATATGTACAGACAAATTTATTTTTTATAAATAACTACTTATATAGAGATATGAATAATATTAATAATTTTCATTTACATCAACATTATTATATTCTTTAAGTGCAGACTGCGGAGTAGATATTTGTGAAGCTGAAGATTCTTTTCCTAGTAACAATTGCATACAATGTAATATTAAAATCAAATTAAAAACTAGAGTATTTGATTATTTTAGCTCTTATATATATGCAAAAGGTAACAAAAAAAGCTGACAAATGTAAATATCTACAATGTAATAATTGTTGTTTTAATATTATAGAGGGTTTCAAATCAAATGCGACTGGATCATAGTGCTCCGAGAGGCAGTTTTTGACACGGTTACTCATAATAGAGCGTGAATAAGTTGGAAACTTTAAAATGATTATATTCTTATCTTTCCACCTAACTTACACATTGATTTGAGTAGAAATCATCACCAAATGCGCTTTGATCAACTTACATTTGATTTGAAACACACTATATTATTTATTTTTTTTTTTTTTAATAATTAACAATTATTGAATCATAATATATATATATATACGGGTAAATTAAAAATAACATTTTTTTAAGCTGGAAAGAATAAACATTATTACATCTGCCTGTTATTCAGTTATACCCTGTATAATGTATAATATACAAATATATAATTATTTAAATATTGATAGTTAAGTATTATAATATTATTTATACATAATATATAATTATACAAACCATATTTAGATTTTGGCTCGGATTTTCGGTTTTTTTCGGGTTGAAATGAATTTAAACATTTTTGGCTACAGAAGTAGTAGGTTGTTCCAATATGAAATGTATTATAATATGCAGGACATAAAAACCCACAGTGATCACAAACAACCCTAGGAATAAATCATTAGGAAAATATAAATCAATGATAATATATTAATAATATTAAATTAAATTTATAATACTTTTTTAATTTTGATAATGCTAATTGTTTTTGTTGATCAATGCAACTTGTTGAACATATATATGTAGGACTATTATAAGATACATTTTTGGTAGAAATCATATCAATGTTGAACTTTTTAACCTAGAAGAACATAGTTATTCAAATGTATTATTATTTATAGCATACACTTGGTGATTCAACAAACATGCTTGACTCCATTTTTAAAATTTAATTATAAATTTATATAAAATTTGAATGAATAGTTTCTGAATTATTACATTTTGTATACTGAGGATAATATATCAGAATAAGTTAAGAATAATAAAAGAATATTAAAATTGTTTAAAAAGAAGAAAGTTAACAGTCCATATGTTTAAAATATTTTTGTGTTCAACAATTTGAAATAACTAATTAAAACATTAAACAATTGTACCATATAATTGTGATTAAATGTTATCAATGAAAAACTACCATAATAAACCTAACATATGAATCAGTCGTTTGAAGAAACCAGATTTATCCCAAAACCCAAACTTTCGGAAAAATGAAAATAACATATCCTGAACTAATAGGGCTTCATTTCATTCCTACAATTTATACCGCTATTAAAAACTACTATGATAATTATTTAAGTCAGAATTCGCTCAAAATGTGTAGAACTACATAACATGAACAATCTAATACTACATTAAGAAAGTTTTATATTTCATTCTAAATATATAATATTTATTGCAACAAAGAAAAATAAAATTTCAGAAAATAGTTCATGCAGTAGACACTTACTTTGCATAATGAACAAGGAACAGTTGTCTTTTTTGATACAATGAATTTATTTAAACATTCATTTGAACAAAACTTAAACAAACTATTTGTATGACTTAATATTTGAAACTCATTTGTGGGTGAAGAATTTAATTTACAGAAACACACATTGCATATATCTGTAAACAAATATTTATATATGTATTAAATTATGTAAAATATATTAATGTACAAAAATTTATAAACTAATATGAGTTAGTACATGTTTTAATGTGGACTTACCAATGACTTGAGTTTTTTCATTTGAACCATAATCTACAATAGAACTATCTGGTTCAGTGTGTTTCCTTCTTGATTCATAATCTTTAGTTTGACAAAATGATGAACAGAAATCCTACAAAATATTTATTAAATATTAAAGAATATTATAACCATAACACATTAATAATTTATATTATTTAATTATTACTTCAAATTCACAGCCAACTAAATCCTTTTGACAAAAACTGCATAAACGTAATCTATTTTCATAACTTTCAGTGCAATAAGCCCCGCAAAACTCTAGTAGTTTACCAGAAATATATCGACAATATTGTTGTAGTACAACATTTGAAGTTATAACATTTTTACAGTTTTTACAATGTGAATCAAAAACTGTTTTTTGATAGTCTCCTAAATAATATAACATACATCATAATACAATATTAAATATTTAAATTACAATCAACCATTTTTCTATAAATCATATATAAACACTACTTACTTAAGCAATTTACTGAACAAAAATGTTTTGTTTGCCAATAGTAACTCTTATCTTTGATTTCTAAAATTACTGATTGACAACACTGGCATTTTTTTTCAAAGTGGCAACGACTATTTTTCTTACAGTAATTTTCCACACACTTTTCTTGGCACAAAAATATAGACTTATGGCCATTTACAGTAAATTTACATACACGAATCTGTAAATTTAATAATTTTAATGATATGTGGTAAATAATGTGTACAAGAAATAATTTTAAATAACTATTCAATACCCTGTTACATTGGTAGCACACTTTTTTCATTTGAAATTGCAACTCCTCAACTGTATCTATAATTTTGTCATCAATACTATCAATAGGTTTGATTATTTCTTTCGCTATTTCCTATAATCCAAATCAAATACTAACATAATACAGTGTTTTTAAATTGTATGAATTTAAAATAACTATTAAGAGGGGTGTTACACCAGCTTTTGATATCTCCATGTTTAGCAGTTCTTCGTTAGCTTAAAATTTGAGTGAATAAACCTATTATGAAACCTAATGGTAAGAACGTCATCTATATTTGTGCGTCAGTATTTTATGATACTTCAGTTTTTAAGCAAGTTATGAGAAAAGTTAAATAGCGCTAATTGATTACGTAAAACTTGCTACAAAATTGAATTATTCTAAAAAACTGACATACAAACACTAATAACGTTCTTACTATTAATTTTCATAATAGCAAGGCAAATTAATAATTTTTTTTTAACCTTAAGGTTTATTTTATGATACGGAATTTAAATATATTGAAAAACATTATAACAAACAAGATTAATATTTAGATTGGTCAAATCTACATTAGTTTTGATTTTTGACAAAACTTGCTGCAGCCCTCTTAATGAAAAAACAAAAGTAATTGGTAAGGTCAAAAAGTTAAAATAAAATTAACTTTAACTTTTTAACTTGTTAATGCCCAGCCTTGCATATTAGGATGATTTACTCTAATTTATAAAATAACGAAGCTAAACTTTAACTGTTGATCTTAAATCTACTATGTTACTCATTTGTAAGACGGATACAACAAATACGGTTGTAGCTTCCTCTCAATCAATATAATATTAGTTTTGAATGTATTTACTCTGATTTGATTTTCTGTTTTTTTTGCAGCTTGGAGTTGTGGTCTAGAACTTGTTTTCAAAAGTGTTTCACTCAAGTAATTTTGTGGTTGATGTTTTTGATGTATTTCAGAATTTAATATCATACTATTTTGATTTAGACATTCTTCATTTATAATTTTATCTTTACCACTATGTTCATTTGCATCATTGTTTCTAATAGATGTTAAAATATCCATTGTTGGCTGGTCTATAAAAATAATATAGTTTTAAATTATTTAAAATAATTAATTTGATGGATCAATAGTTATAAAATATTGTAATTAAAACCTGTAATATTTTGGTCAACTATTTGGTCAGCCTGGTCAATATTAATTTCAATTTTACTGATTGATTCCATAATTTTGTTTTGAACGTTAGGAACAGACATAGCAGGCTCGTCTTTATCCAAGCATTCAGTTACACCCGCATCAATTGAATCAAGTTTGTTTTTACTGTCAATAACCAATAACTTTTCATCGGTATGTTTTTCTTCAACCTTTATTTCTAAATCTTCATTACTCATATCATGTTCTGTGGTCATTATCAAACTGTTAATTAAATATATAAAAATCCCGACGTCGGGCTCACAATGAAGTTATTTATTTTAATATAAATTATTGAATAATAATATGATGTTCTAGTAGAAATACCTTTGTTCCTGGTGTTTGTCCTCCTTAGACAGAAAAGAGCAAGTGATTAAATGGGCAATGCAGCAACTTGTACATGATAAACCGTCGGTGGTTAATGTCTAAGCAGTGACGACTAGAGGTACATGATCGGAGGTAATGCGGCGTGGAATTCATTATCGTCAGAGGATATTATGTGAGAGTCGGCCGATTATGTTTGCACGATAGAAGAAACGAGCACTCGTATGACCGTACGGGATGAATTCGAGCGTCGTCGAATGTCACGATAGTCCGAAGCACGGCGGCGAATATGGCACGGATAAACGCGTACAGGCCGTTATAATAACTTAAGTAAACACGACGGTGAAAATAACACGCACTCGTAAATACTTGCACAGTGATGGTATCGTCGACGGTGAATCCTTTTACGACGGCGAATAATGCGCGCCACTCGGACGAAAAGGCGACGACGAGTAGTACGAGCACTCAATGTTAGGCTCCCGCTTAACGTTTCTCATGAAGAAAAATTATTAACAGAGAAAGTGAGCACTGGTAAGAGTACGATGCATTTTAAATTTGATATCGCGGAACTCGGAAGAGACCACGTCAATGACGTTGATAATATTATAGGCTATCACACGATGATGGACGGACTGGGTGAACACCGAGCACTATCGTCTGGTGCAGCGAGCGCGTACCCATCGTTATCAACAATCAACAGGTTGCGTGTGAGGCCAACAAGGTGCGTTTACATTAGGCCGAGCGAGCGAACGCGAATTCGGTATACTAAAATGTACCGAACACACAGGTGTGAACGGTAGGCCGAATTCGAACGAATGGTAATTTGTACCATTCGTTCGGGTTCGTACGCGTTCGGAGAGGTTCGAACAGGTGGCGGTAAGATCAAATAAAATGCTATTCAGTTTGAACGACATTCGGCCCGTCACAACGATTCGCTCGCGTTCGCATGCAAATAAATATTTTTTACTAGTTTTTTTATTGAAAATTTTAAATACGATTTTTTAATCATGGATTTTTCCGATGTTGAATACATTACATTGATCAGTTTATATAAATCGCGTCCTATTTTATGGGATCCGTGCAATTCTATGTACAAAATGGCAAAAAAAAAAAAAATGATTTTTGGCAAGAAATTTCAAATGAGATGGGAAGATATCAATCAAACCAGGAAAAAAATGTATAGTTTGTTAGCTTCATATCGAAGAGAGGGGCAACGCGAAGGAAATAGTGGCTATTCTGGAGCTGGAACGAATGAAATATACCATTCAAAATGGTTTGCGTTTGCAGAAATGCAATTTTTAAATGACAAATTCAAACCACGGACTACTATAACATAAGTACCTGCACGTTTATTCAAATAATTTTTATTTAAGAACACCGAAACATAATTCTTAATTATGCATCAATCATTATCATAATTCATAACTATTATTTTAAAATAACTTGTGTATTAAATTACTATGTAAAAATTGAACAAAAAATATTTTATTATTTATTATTATTATAATTATGTATATAAGAAAATATTATCACATGTATTACAGTACATTTGAGTATATAGAGCGATTAAAACATATTATTTGAAAAATTACTATTTAATTATAATACATTATTGTTTAATAATTAATTACGAACTAATTTTAATTAAATTTTTTTATTTTTATTTAGTAATTAATATATGCTAAAATAATTTTTTCCTGGACATTTTTCGTTTTATCTAAAATTTCGTTTGCCACATTATTTTATAAATCAGGTTTTTTGGTACTAAGATATAATCAAACACATACTAGCCACTAGTGACATACATAATCATTGAAGTTTTTAGTTTGGACTGTCTGGAATAGGTACCAGAAAGCCTGGGCATTAACGAGTTAAAAAGTTAATTTTATCTTAACTTTTTAACTTAACTAGTTACTTTTGGATATTCATTAACTTAACTATTAACTTATTAAATTTATTTTTTAATTAACGTGAAATTAACGAGTTTATTTTCATTTTACGGAATAAGTTAAGTTAATTTTTAAAAATTTTATATTTTTCCAATCACTCTGTAATCTAAAGAAACACCCTGTAATAAAAGGTTTGTATTATTAAATAAATAAATTTTATCAAGTAACAATAAAAGTATAGACATAATATAGTCCCATTATGACTATATGGCATTATGATTTATGGCTATACCCTTATGGGTATATAATTGTTATCGACGACTGAAGTCGTCATTTAAGGAAAAAAATATAAAACCAACAAGTCTAAAAATAAACAAAAACCAACTATCGATATTATGATTTTATGTGATGTGGGTCTGAAATTTTATTAGTAATCACTATTCAGTTGTGAACTTTTGGTTGTACACGAACTACACAAACAGTATGCACGTTTATAATTTATTAAAATATAATAATTAAAAATACTTACTCATCATATACAACAATTTAAATCAATATAAGGGCATTTGCATAAGTTAATGGTACCTAACTACTGTTCTTTCTTTTAGAAATGAAAACTTCAATGAAGTACAATAATATACTGTATAGAGTATAATTTGTTCTAGTCATAGTCCAAAAAGTAGTTTTGGGTTTCAGGGTTTCTAAGAAAATAAAATATACGTAAAAAAAAAATTAACTTTTTTTTAACTTAATAAAAAGTTAAAAAAAAATGCGTATTAACTTTTAACTTAACTGAGTTAACCTAAAATGAAATTAACTTTTAACTTTTTGTTATTGGTGCATATTAATTTAACTTAACTGAGTTAAAAAAAATCATTAACTTGCCCAGCCTTGGGTACCAGACTGTCCTACCGGCTACCTTCCTATAAAAAAAATAATACCCATCTGTCCTATTGTATTTAGATGCGATAACGTAGTTGAACACGTAAATGTTCACAATACAGATTCAAATACACTCATATAGATCTGGGCTATTTATATTATGGTGTCTGCTTATTTATTTTATAAGTAAAATATATAAAAAAAAAGTACATCATTTTGTATCCAATCAAAATTGTATTTTAATTTGTACTTCATAATACTATCGACATTAAAATCATAATTTCCCAAGAACCCCAATATATATAATTTATTATAACTAAAAAAAACGCAATATAATATTATAATAAACTAATAGTAGCAATATTACCACCAAAATAAATTATACTCAACCTAGTAAAAAAATTAGCATTTTTACATAATGAAAGACAAACTTTTTTAAAATTATATTATTATTCAATACAAATTATTAAAACATTTAAATGTTATAATGTAATATGTTATGTCTTCCAGAGGAAATAAAAACAATAATAAAATTGTTATAAAAAAAACTCTAGGCTACTTCCGATTGCCATGGAACTGCATACTGGAAAAATATTCTAAAAACTCTGTTCTAATATCTCCTGCCACTCTATGCGTCCATTTTACTTATGAGTTTTTGAAGAGACAATATTAGAAATAGTCCTATAACAAATACCGTATGTATTAAAAAAAAAAAAAAAACATTGAAAAAGGCTTATTTCATATATGAGGGGGGAAAACAAAAGTAGACAGGGTTAAAGCGTGAAAGTTTAAAATCGTACAGTTTCGGGTTCTGCGATAGTCGTGCAAATGCATGCTAATGACGTGCTAATGTTTGGTAAAAAAAAATTGTAAAAAAGTGATTATTTCACTTGTGGGGGGCTAGGGTAACTTTACGCCAGCCCTCCATAGCTTTTTATAAAAATAACTCGTAAAAAAATGTCGTGCAAATGTATGCTAATGGCGTTGTTCGTTACCGGCTATTAACTGGCATTTGGCCAAGTAACTAAAAATATGAATTGTTCGGTGTTCACGGAGTTTGGGATGGGTTAATGACAGGTTAAAGTAATAAACAATATGCAAGTAATAGACAATAATAAAATAAGTTGTAGCACGACAAATGTGCGATTTGTTGGCCGGGAAAACGTCTTTTCACGAGCTCAACACAATAAACAACAATAATAATCTGTGCAATAATGACTATGATAATACGATAACATTACCGGTCGGCACATGCGCCGTTGTGGGGGGGGGGGGGTGGCGGCTGCAACAGCTGCAGCGATGATGCGACGACACGCAGGTGAACGGTGGGCGGCGGCTCCGGAGTCCGGACGATGGCGAGCGACCGGATTACGTAATGTACAAATGACGTAATCACGGCACGGAAAAGAACGTCGCACACAATAATAATATCGACGGCGACACGTATACGCGATGCCGGTCGCGGTACGAATTGGTCCGTCGGAATTCAAAGCTGGGCACTAACTAGTTAGAAAGTTAAACTAGTTAGATTTAATACACAATAACTTTCAAACTTAACGAGTTGAATTTAATGCGTAAGATAATCCTAATCTAACTCGTTAGAAAAAAAATTAACTAGTTAGTTATTACATTATTATTACTTTTTTTTCATTTCCAAAATTTCAAAAGCTGTTCCTTTATCATGACATAATTACTATACCTATATTTATTTATTTATTTATTTATGTTGTATATCAACGGGTATATACCCTTTTACAAATTATATAAAGGAAACATATTAGATAAAAACTAAAAACTAAGTAAGTGTAGTAACACCTAACAAATACAGATAAAAATAATATAAAATTAATTCTGAATTAAAAGTAATAAAAATATAAAATTATAATTACATTATAAACATTTTTTTTTTTTTTTATATTAATCAATCAATATTTTTTAATAATAACATAGATTTGGATTTAAAACAATTGCGTGAGAGAAAAAATATATCTAAATGTATACAAATTTTATTAGCTAAAATTAAAGCTCGAGAGAAAAAAGAATTGGTACCACTATTCGTTTTATAATGAGGAACTAAAAATAAATCTGAACTACGTGTAATTAGATGTGGAATTCGAAAACTGATTTCAGACAACAATTCGGGACACATGATATTGTAATTAATAAGATCATAGACAAACATAATATCAGTTAATTTCCGTCTAAGTGAAAGAGAAACAAGGCCAATATAATCTTGAGTTAGATGGAGAGAGTCCCTAGATAATGGAATATTCGATAAGTATGAAATCCTTTTTAAAAATTTATATTGTACATTGTCTAAATCATTTATATATGTCAAGTATTTGCATGACCAGATTACGGAGCCAAAATCAAGATTGGATCTAACTAAAGATGTATACAAGGTTTTTAAGCATAACGGATTTTTGAAATCTTTAGTATTTCTATTAATAAAGCCTAACATCTTAAACGATTTATTAATTATCATTTTATGGTTCGTTTTAAAAGAAAGATCACTTTCAAAATAAATACCAAGTTCTTTGATTACATTTACTCTAGTGAGAGAAAACATTTCAATATTATAGTTAAACAAGATGGGATTTTTTTTACGTGTAAATGTTATCGTATGACATTTATCAATATTTAACGGTAATAAATTTAATTTACTCCATAATTGAAATTTATTAAGATTATACTGAAGAGATTCAGCATCACTTAAAGAATTTATTGTACAGAAAATCTTCGCATCATCCGCAAATAATAAAATGTTTATAGAACAATCAAGGACTAGTGGGAGATCATTAATAAAAATTAAAAATAGTAAAGGACCTAAATGGCTGCCCTGAGGAACACCTGATAAGACAGGATAATCATCAGAAACATAAGACATAATTTTAACTACTTGAGTACGATCAGAAAGATACGAAAATAACCATTGTAAAATGTTCCCACCTATACCAATATTTTTTAATTTATGATATAGTAAATTATGATTCACCTTATCAAACGCCTTTTGAAAGTCCGTATAAATAGTATCTACTTGGGAGCCTTGATCAAGAGCTTTTACAAGATAATTATGATATAATAATAAATTAGTTTGAATCGAATGTTTTGGTACAAATCCATGTTGAGAAAAGCTTATATTATTACACAATAAATTTGATAATTTTTTTGAGATAATAGCTTCAAACATTTTTGGCAAAATTGACATTTTCGAAACTGGCCTATAATTTTTCACATTTTGTTTATCACCTGATTTATATATGGGAGAAATGAAAGATTTTTTCCAACAAAGAGGAAATATTCCACTGGATAGAGACAAATTAAATAAATGATGTAAAGGTTTAACTAGAGTTTTACAACACATTTTCAAAAAAATTGTAGGAATTCCATCGGGCCCAATACTTGCCTTGTCATTAAGTGAACCAATAAAATCTATAATTTCGTATTCATAAATAATAAATGAATTTAAATTAAAATTATGAAACTGATTATAAAATAAATCATTATTATAATCGTCTATATTATTAGTTGTGTTAGTTGTGTATACTGATGAAAAATATTTGGCA